AATGTTATTTAGTAAAATTTCAAATATATAATTTTAGAAAATCATTTATTACGAATTAAAGCTTTCATTAAATATTTTCATTACATTTTATTTCATTCAATTTGCTTAATTGGTTTTTGCATTTTAAAATCGCCATTTTAGAGACATAAATTATCATAAATCTTTTTATTTTCCATGATATTTATTTTACACAAATTCTTAATTGCTAAGTAATAAATATTGCATTTTATCCTTATATCAGTGATTATATCAGTAATTTCAACAAATCGTCATTCACTGTTTCATATTTGGCTTGCTGATCTTTTGCTGATTTCTAAGACGGAGCTTTCATCAGTGAGTCATTCATGGTTAGAAATAAAAATAGATCCTCAAAATCCATCAGAATTTCACTTTTAATGCACTTCAGCGACTCTATTTAATAAACACTTAATAATTTATATTAATGTGAGTCACTAATGGAACTTATTAAATAAAAAATATTGTAAGATGGTGATATCCTCGTAATGTCCTTAATAGCTCAAAGGCACATCCTTATTCCCACTTTTTCGCAAAGTTTTTATTATCGAACTCATTAGAGAAATTAGGGCAAAATTTAAAAAACGAAATAATTTGCAAAAATTTTTCTTGAATTTGTGGATTTTTAATAATTTATTAATAGTATTTTCTCTAAAAAATATACAAGAAATAAATAATTCTATAACTTAATTTTCAAAAAAAATTATTATGCGAGTAATAAAAACTTGTTTTTTATTAATTTTATTTGAAAATAGCGAAAAATATTTGAAATCAAAAAAAATATGTCCTAAGTTAATTGCGAAATATTCGTCGATTATAAGAATAATTAAAATTCTTTAATTTTTGAATTTTAAGCCAAAAATGATTATTTCTTTATTTGCTAATCTTCCATTTCAACGAAATTTCTTTTTCAAATTCATTAATTTTATTTTTTTCAATGTTCAAAAAAAATGAGTATCGTTAAGTGGTCAATTGCAACAATGGTGATTTTATTTCCCTTCTCATCGTTCTCTACTTTTTTTAAAATGTTCTTTCTAAGTTATAGAATTTTTGCCTTATTTCGTAGCATTTTTTTTAAAATATATGAAAATTGAGTTCGATTTGAACCCTTTTTTTTCATTCGAACTTAGGCAATAGAAGATTCATAGAAAGTGCTATTTCGACTATAAGTACGACTAAACGAATCCGCGTGGTACTAAAAATTCATTGAATTGCACTTCTATCCCGAAGTGCGTTAAAATTGTTTCAAAAGTATGTAATACAAATTGCTAATAAATTTTTTGGTTGAAAAGAGTTTTTATAATCGTTAAACGAATTTTTGGTGACAAGGCCATCTATTTGAGGTGACAAATCGTCTTTTACCAGTCTTTTACGATAGAAAAAAAATTTTTTGACATATTTTATATATTTTATACATTAAACACGAAAACATACTCTAAGAATTCAATTTCATAAAAGAAAATGGAATATTTTAGATGGATTTTAGATAAATCATTTAAAATAACCGAACTTATAATTTTTTAAATAAATAATAAAAGCGAATAAATACTGCGAATTTAGAAACTCTTCGATACTCGCCAAATTCGCCTAAAATTAACGCATAAACTATCGTTGGCTAAATCCAAATTGAATTTACAAATGCAAAATGTGGCCAATGTCAACCTCCCTGATTAGGTAATTTCTTTCTATAAGAAAATGCTCATCAAATATGCTCATCATTCGCTTTATTCGACCCTATAGCCAGTAGTCAACGTTATACAAAACAGATCGCATTTGTCTAAATTAAATTTTTATTATGTGAAATACTTTCCAACTAAGGAAACTTTTTGTTATCTAATATATAAATAATTTTTATTTATTTAATTATAATTGCATATCAATTTTTAAATGCAATTTTTTTGTTGTTTTCGCCTGTGTTGGCGTAAATTATTCGCCTATTAATGCGCAAATAAATTTCGTTCGACGATTATTTTTATAGCCGCGCCAGATATTTTTATAAATCTAAATCTTCCATCAACGTTCATAAAACTGTTCTAAAGCATTAAAACAAGAAGAATATATAGCAATGAGCAATATGCGATGGGTGGGCGAAGAAAAATACTGCTCATTGTAGTTTGGCAACTGGAAAAATTTACTCTCTTGTCTGGCCACGAAGACTAAAGAAAAATAAGCCATAAAATGAAAATTTATTGGAGAATAATTCCAAAATAATTAAGCAAAATTATTTTGCGACAATTCGTAAAATTATTTAGTGGAGAACAAAAAAAACTTTACAATTTATTGTATTTTGCAAAAATTGATATGAAAGAAGAAAAATAAATTTTTAATGAGTTTTATGGAAAATTACGCCAAAGTGAGTAATAAGATCATTTTGAAATTGCCTATTTCTTAGGTAAAATGGAATGATATAGAAAGAACAAAGCCTCCAATAGATTCATGCTGCCGAAAAATTTTTTTCATCCTCTAATATTAGTGGAATTCTGAGAATATTTTCATAAATACCTTTGAAGAGCTGAAAAAGAGTAATGCAAATGAAGGAAAATTAACGATGCAAAATGAGAACATTTATGAATGAACAAAAAGCAAAACTGCAAAATTAAAGGATATTAAAACAATTGATTTCTTTTTCTAACATCTCTCACCATTACTAATTAGGCTAGCTCCGTTGGCTATAAGAGTAAGAGACGTCTCAAAGCCGCCCGGTCCGACACCATCGCTTTTACTAATAGAAATCATTCATTTTTTCACTGTCTAGTCCATATATCGCTGGTCCCTCTATACGTTCTTTCTTTCCTATCAGTCCAGGTCTTGACTGTTCCTCCTCGCATTTGACGCCAATCATCACTCGACTAGAAGTGAAATCCAGATAGTATTTAAGACCTTCAAGCGAAGATACATATCTTATAGTGCAGTAGTAAGTTTGATGATGATTCTGATTTATTCGCGCGTATTCGTTTTTAAAAACTTTTCCCATTACGATTTCGATCGGATTCCGATCGAATCATGCGATAACAATAACACATGCATTTAGTTTTTATGGGCTATTATTCGCTGTTTGGTCATGAGGCAGCTTTTATTAATATTATGGAATATCGTGAAATCTTGGATATTAGATTCAATTGAATTTGTCCATTTTATTGCCATTTTAGTCAACGATTTCGAAAGCGTTTTTCTAAACGTTTTTTAAACTAAGAGGAAATTAAATAAATTTAGGTAAATATTCAAAATTTTTCACTCGCTGATAAATAAACATTTCTTTTATTGGTAAATAGTAAAATTTTTAAGTGAAGAAAATATTTCTCATAATTTCACTTCTATTCTATTTTTCTATTCAATAATAGTTCCATGGTTAACACTCGTATTGTAACACCTTATTGTCTAATGATTTTTCAAACAAAATCCATATTATTTTCTTTCTAATGGGAAATTTTCTATTTCGCTCGACTTAGCAATGTCGTTTTTAGCTGTTGTCATCTTTGCCCGAAATGTTTCTATAGTTGCAGATAAAATATATGTTGACTTTTGCTAGTCTTTTGGCCCATCTGTGTTTGTAGAGCCAACTGCCTAGCTGCTGGCTGAACTAAATTTTTTATTTTATATGCTATGCCACTAATTAGCAGAGCTAGCGAAAATAGTGAGAGCTCCAAGATTTTGTGGGATCCCCCATTCTAGGCTGACAAGAAATACTGATCAGATTAACCAGACATTACCCAAAGCTGGAAAAATAGGTCCAGTCAGTTGCAGAGATCTCTGTCCAGAAGAGCGAACTGTAAAGCATAACTCTTAAATTGCCAGGCCTCTGGTAGAGAAAAATTGAAAGAATATAAGGAAAATGAAGAGAATTTTGAAACTTAAGGTTCGAGATGGCCCATACAGAGGTTGAAATGAATTTTTATAATTTTGCAGTAACGTTTATATTAAATATTTTGCGTTGATCATAAGCGAAGCAACTAAATTTATGTTTAAATTTAAATTTATGTTTTTGATGAATTTTTCTTCGTCTCATTTGCCCTAATATGATTATCTAATTCAATTGTCTCACTAAAAAATTGTCCAATTTTATGCTCGTTATAAAATTATTTTGTGGCAGCGCTAAGCACTACTCGTTTAACCTAAAGGCACATTCGCCAGAGCATTATTTTAATATAAAAATCATGCAAGCAGATCACATGCATCTTGTGGCATTTATCATTTATCATTTATAATATCTCATAACAATTTAGCTTGTAAAGATCCCGTTTTATATTAACTAAATTGTTCGAAATTTTTTCGATTTATCATGAAATTAATCATTTTATTCATTTTATCATTAATTTTTAAATTTTTCAGTTCTGCGATTTATTTCTCGAAATATTTGGAAAAAAAAAGATAAAAATCTCATATCCTTAGCTATGACAATAAATTTATCATGAAATTTATATTTTTTAATATTATTGTAATAATATTTTTGATCTAAAACTTTTGATTCGAGGAAGGCTAGCTTATACTTATTTACGAATATGCGTTTTCGTTATTTAAAACGATATGCTGGTTTAGTGGTGGTTATTTTGTGTGGGATAATTATTTTATTATCACTGGTAAAAAATGGCCAAGAAGGTACTGCCATATTTTTTATTTATTTAATTATTTTTCTATATTTTTTATTGTGGATATTAATTTCGGGTCATTATCATTCGGGTGGTTAAATAGTTTCGAAAAAAATAAGTTTCATGGATATCAAAAATAAATTTAAGCGCAGTTCCTCGTTCATTATCATTAATTCTACCGATAAATATAGGATTTAATTAATAGTCCATGTTCTTTAATACATAAATAAAAGAAGAAAATAAAAATAAAACATAGAATGACAAAATAGCGTAAAAAAATACCTAAAATATTTCTAAAATATTTGAGCGATATATCTCAATTCTCAGAAAATAGACTTGTCTGGTGGAATAATGCAGTGATTTTAATTTTGAAATAATTTAAAAAATATTTTTACAGAATGGGAAGTTTCCATGAGAAAACATCCACGCCATCGTAACTTGCTAAAAGATGATCAACCTTTGGAAATTTTAGAATATGAAAATGCAAATATTGATTTCAGTGGTATCGCAGGTAACTCACCACTGAATATCTTTCTCCGTGAATTATTTTAGCGAGGATTTTGCTCATGTTGATTAGATTCAGGTCAATATTACGACAGTAATCTCATTGAGAGGCTTGCTTCTTATGCATCAGAACTTAACATGAATGAGCTAATAACTAAGGAATGTGAATTTAACGAAACTCTCAAAGATTTCTGGAAGCAAACACAAGGGTTTGTTTCTTTAATTTGGAACCTTTTTAATTATTATTATTATCATTATAAATTCATAGTTTTTCGTTGTTTCGAAATGTATAGTTTGCTCCAAACAATTCAACACATTTAATATGAAAAAAAGCACTGTTATATTCAGTTTTTAGCTGAAATTATTGCACTATGAAAAAGCTTTTTAGGCGAAATATTTTCTTTTTTTTCAAATATTGATATTGCATTTTAATTGTAGAAAAATTGTTTCGGAGAAGGATTCTTGGGAAAAATTTTATGCTCGAATTGGAAGCTGTGATTTATATAGAGACGTTGAAGTTTGATTTTTATAGATAAAATTATTACTTTAAATTGAATTTCCCAAGAAAATTATCAGTTTACTCATTATGAAATTCCTATTCGTCTTGATATTACAAATTTACAATAAATCTTTTTGTAAATATTGGCAAACTGCGAATGTCAATTTGTCCTCTGATTTGTTATTCATGATTTTAGGTAATTGATAGGTTATTGAATGATCTTCACACATTGCAAGTAAACAATGTAGCTATTATGGGTGGCGGTACTCAAGTCAAATTAGTTATTACATTTGAAAATGATGAACAAGCAGTCTTTAAGCCGATGAGGTACTTTCCTTCATATAGAATATTATGTAAAAATGTACGCCATCTGCAAATATAATCTGCAGAAGGTCTAATGGAAAGCTTAAAAATTTCCTTTACCTTCATCCTTAATGAGAAAATTTTGGTGAAACAGTTATCTGAATTTTAGGTTCGGCCGAGATTACGAAACTGATCCGAATCACTTTTATTTTAGTGATTTCGAGCGCCACAATGCTGAAATAGCAACATTCCACTTGGACCGGTTATTTTTATTTTTCTTTCTGGATATTCTGGAAGATGAATCGAATTATCATCGCAGTAACAGCTATTAGAGATCGGATTTTAGTAGATTTTATAAATAGCAAAATTAATTAAAAAATAAAAAATAAAAGAAATATATCGCTTTGTGATAATTTAGAGTTATTGGTTTTCGTCGAGCTGTGCCAACGGTTGGTCGAGTATTCAACATGACGTCGGAATTAATGGAAAAAGCCGAGAAAGTACTTCAAAAGACTTTTTTTATATCACCAGGTACCAAACATTTTTAGAACCTTGTCTATTCAATGCACCACAGTTATAATTACAATTACAAGAAAACACTGTTAGAATACTATTTTGCCTGATTATATTTCAGAAGAAAGTGTTCCTACTTATACCTATATTTTCTTTCATATTTTTTCATACTTTCATATGAAGATTTAGTAATCATATATAATATCATTGTCCATGATACCTTCAAGGATTTCTTTTAATTTAAGTTTTAATTTAACTTAATTTTAACTTTAACTTTTAGTATAATTTAACTTATAGATTAGAGGATAATTTAATTTTTCAGCCAAAAATCTGTGTTTTGTGAGTAAATGTGATTATTACTGTGATACGAATCATGCGATATGTGGAAAACCAGATTTGAAAGAGGGCTCAGTTCAAGTTTTCCTACCTGACGATCGTGGAGTACCACGGAAAAATAATAAATCACCTTATAGAAGGCAAAACTTTCAAAAATTTTTAGTTTCCATTTTATATATTTGCAAGCATTCTGTATTAAATTTTTATATTTCTCGGAATTTAGGACATATTCGAAGCGACACCAAATGGCTAATTGGCAAAAAGATAATGATTACTGTACAAAAACCGTTAAACGACAAAAGGATTATGCTCATGGCAGAAAACTGCTCGATTTGATCGATTTACACATTTTGGATTTTCTCATAGGCAATATTTCAGATTCTCTTCTATAGTAAAATAGTATTCGAGAAAACTGTTGCATTGGATTTCGAAATGGTTTAATTTCAGTTTTCCGAATCATTTAGGTCATTGAATCTTCTTTCTGTGTTCAAGTAGAATTACCATAAACCATAAAAATTTGCAGACAATCTGGACCGACATCATTACGAAACTTTTACTGTTTTTGATGGAAAGCCAGTATATCCAATTCACTTGGACAATGGAAGAGCGTGAGATGGTTTAATAAAATTTCTTCTCGCATGTGATTGCTCTTTACATTGAAAATGTTTAGGATGTGCCTTCTTCAAGAAGCTTAAAGCGTTGTTTCATCCTCTTCGAGTAGCACTCATCGTGCTTTATTTGATTGGCTTATTTTTTTTCAAGGGATTATTAAGGGATTTGTCAGAGATTGTAAATTAACTCAGTAACACTCGGATTTCACTGTTAATGATAAGGTGTACTTCTGTTAAAACGCGAATCTTGAGAGTATAAACTCACAAACTCACAACGCTTGAACTGAAACAATATAGCACTCGGCCGTTATATCTCCACTGCTACTTTCTAAACAGAATTAGTTTTTAGCTTTGGACGAACTGATATCGATCACGATGATATTTTATATCCGTTACAGCAATGTTGCTTAATTCGCCCGTCAACTTTACGCACTTTAATGAATTTTTATCGAGGACCTCAATCCTTATCACAAGCTTTACACAAGTAATTTCTATTTTCCATCCACTCTTTTGCCTTTGAAAATGAAAGATGAGATGAGAACTGACTTTGCTCGCTCCACTGACTTTTCCACCTTATCAGAAAATGAAATACAAGAGACTGGTGAATAAGGGTGACACCAGAATCTTTCTATTCTTTAACTATTCACCTCTTAGGTCAATGTCTGCTGATCCAGTTAAACCGATTCTCGCCACAAAGCATTATTCGGCACTTGAACGACGGTTGTATAAAATAATGTTGGCCATCGATAAATGCGTAAAACAACAAAAAAATGGAATCAAAGATGTCGTAATGGCGGAATACCATAGTGATGTGAATATTTCTTAAAATAAAAATACAATTAAAAAATTGTTATTTATTAACCGTGAAAAAAGATTCGGTCAAAAATCTGAGAACTATAAGTAATATAAATTCGAATAAATCGATGATTACAGGAGGTTCTCGAGAATACGACGGATTTCTTGGACAATGAAAGTGAAGAAACAAAAAAAGAGAAGAATTCCGATATTGACAATTTTGAATTAAACTCAAAATTACAGTTATAAATTATTAAGCTATATGCACTACCTAGATGTACTGGCTTGTAGATTAGAATATTGAAAAGTAGCACTAAACTACTGATTACTGATTAATCAATAAAATCTATCCGGTGTGAGAAGAAATTATGTTTTTACTGGTCATTCTTGCTAGGCTTTTTCCATTTGCTGTTGGTGCTATGATGAGAAATTTTCGCTTAGAGTGCACATGAAGGGGGTAACTCCCTTAATCTCCTCAGTAACACTTGAATTTTTAATAACTGATTTATTTCGACCATTCTCACGAAGCATAGTGCTCGAGGCGATAATTTGAGTAGTGGATTGCTCGGTTATTCTATAGGCTTCAATAGTAATTTCAAATTTTTTGATAATTTTGTTGCTATTATTATGTTTTGGGATTTCGTTTTTTTCTTTTGGGGTTTTTAATTTATCTGATTAGCATTTCTGTTGTATAATTCATTTATAAATATTTCAAGCAAAATGGTTCTTTTTTCTTATTTCAATTGAAATTTTAGTTTATGTTCCGCAATGAAGATAGAAAATTAAGAAAATTTCGCGGGGCTTCTTTCTTGCCGCGGACGGGTTTTTCTACTTCTTTTTAATTTATATAATTTATAATTTATATATTCATAATGACTTTTCTATTAATAGCACGCAGCATTCCTGGTTCCACTGCATACGAAGTTCACTGATTACCACAATGATGTATTCCCATTTCAATATTAATTTTTTCTTTAACCTGTTTCTTTTTCATTCTAACAGTGCAAATAGGAAAAATTATTCTCTTTTATACCTAATAATAATTGTAAATTGTGATAGTAATTTTTATTTTCTATTTTCTTTTGAGCATTTTTATTAAGAAGAAAAAAATTTGCAATTTATTTGCAAAAATTGTTCCATAAAAGCGGTTGTTTTTTTATATTTTCCTCGTATTATGGAAATTCTTCATTAATTGGCTTCTTTCCTTTTATTAAACGAATAGTTTTGGCAAACTACGCAAACACGTTTGCCATATTTTCATTTTAATATTTATTTTTAATATTTATGAAATAATTTTTTCAATTTTAATTTTTTCAAATTTAAACAATTGTTTTATTATTTTTAATAAATAATTTTAATTATAAAAAATATATTAATGAAAAATTCACAATGCGACTCATTGAAAATAATAAAAATCGTTCCGAAATCGAAATTGTTTTGACGAAAAATTCTATAAATTCTATATGCAATAAACGCATTATGCGAATAGTTTTATTCAAAAAATATTTCAGCAATGTTTAAAAAATTTAACAAATAAAACAATTAAAAATTACAAATATCGTAAATCGTAGCAGATGGAAAAATATCAAAGTGGTACAATAGATTCAATAATTGTTGCAAGAAATGATACACCAAATGGAAGATCGTTGTGTGGTGGCATATCGAAAGCACTAGCGATCCATGCATGTACTCGGCGATACAAAGTGAAAAATGTTTGCTGAAGGGTTTGCATCGCCACATTGCTATGACAAGACGTCAAAATCGAATTCACTACAATATCTCCCGAATTCGTTAATGGAGCATAGATTCCAATCTCTTTTACCTGCATAAGACAGATGGTGTCTCGAATTATTTTGATGAAATGTGTTATCAACACATTTGAATAAAAAGTTAGATTATTAATTTGCTTATCATAATGATATAAAATCAGATAAAATTAGAATGAAATCAGAATGCTTTTAAATAAAAAGTGAAGGAAAACCCGCTCAATAGATAATATTTTAACAGGTTGGAAAGACGATTGGCTTTCGATACTATATAAACACTGTCCTTTACGTAAATCTTTAGCATATAATAAACGCAAAGGATCTTTTAAATTGCAATCATTTGTATAAATAAGGTGATAATCCGTTATTTTTAATTTCTTATTGCCAACCTGAAAACAATGAGGAGGATCAAAACCACCAAAGTACCAACGAACTAAATCATCAATTGGCAATGGCAAAAAAATAAAAGTGAAATATTCGTAGATAAAAAATAGGAATCAAAAAAAATCAAAATTAGTGATTTTGCATTTCTAATTGGCTTAAAATCGACAAGCGCTCGTTGATCTTCTGCCAGCAGCATTCAATGTTTTTTAGTTCGACTGGCTCTATTGATAGATCTTGGCAGTACTCTTTCACAAGAGCGTTATTTGAGAATATAAAAGGTTTGCTTGGAATAAGGACTTGGAATGGTTCATAGAAGAAATTCTACTTTTCAAGGTTTTTCCAACATTTAAAACACTTAATACTTAATAATTAACGATAAGAAATATTCTTTAAAATATATAAATTAAAAAAAAAGACTTTAAGACTCACCGTTGTTATTAGATTGAACTCAGCGATCTCATTTTCCAAGCGATGTAAGAACATCAAAATTGGCGAATAAGATATCTGAAAAAAAAGTGAAAGAATTAAAATGATTTTCAATATCCCTGGAAATTAAGCATTAAACTTACAATGGATTCTTCAGTAGATAAAACGCGATCATTTGTAGTTAAATTTTTAAGGGATTTTATTCCATTAAGCGTTTTAACTGTCATATCACCGCTAAAGCATTGCAATGATTCGAGATAATTAGGCTAAAATAGTCTTCTTTTTTTATTGCAATACAAAAAATATTTAGTGGTTTAAAAAATTCTCAAAATTGGAAAATTATCTTAGTGGTTTGTTGACCTGCTGCCCAAAGTATGTTAAAGCCTGGTGAACTTTCGGTCTTCTTTGTACGTTTCGTGCAAAATTCAACGTTGGTAATAGCAAATCGTTATCCGCTTTTTTATGATCCTGAAAATTTACACGATTAATTCAAATTTTATAATGCTAAATATGAATAAATTTGAATAAAAAAAAAAAAAAATATGGTGAAAATGAAAGGAAAAAGTTTTTTCAATTTTAACACATATAATAGATGTTAATTAAGCGGATTTTCCATGCACCTAAGGGTATTTTTTATTTAATTTTTCATTCAAATATTCAAATATGAATATTATTCGAAAGTTATTTTGTGTGCTAAAAGTCGAATGCATTCAAATAAACTTTCACAGTTGAAGGAAAAAATTTGAGGAAAAACTTACTTTTTGTGCAAAACGAAATGGATAATTAGGAGATAAATAAAAAGATTTTCCTGATGAATAACTTTCTTCCAAATCCGTATTATAAACATTGGAACGTTCACCTTTATTAATGTTTAATTCATATTCATAATCATCATCACTGTTCTAAATTAAATTCACTAATTAAATGAAGTCATACAACGATTCATGACCCACAGAGTTGGAAAGAATGCATTGTTGTTTCGGAGCGTCAATACTAGATCACTATTCCTTGCTGGATTAAACATATCTTCCAAAAGTTCGGATAGTGCTGGCGACTCATTTTATCGCTAAATGATTTTCCGGACCTTTTTGTTTAATCCGACAAACCAGTGGAGAGAGGTTAGACGGAAATACTCGTGGAGCAAAACAAATAAACAAATGACGATTAGATTAAATAAATTTACAATTAGGAGAGCAAGAAAATAAATAAATTTTGGATTAATTCAAGATTTGGAAATTTCCAAAGCGAAAAAGTTAATAAAATACGATCATTTGAACGTTTCCCAACGAATGAAATAGACAAAGAAAACTAAAAAATCTAAAAAATAAAGCACAAAAGACCAACGTCCCATGTTTTCGAGAATCCTTGACTTTCAGCAAAATGTATATTTGTTTTCGATTTATGTCCAACTGGCCAAAGGCTGTCATCGGATATGAGCCTTAAATGTTTTATTATATTCTCGTCAGTAGGTGAATAAAAATTAATGCTGCCAGTGGTCCACTTGTATTTTTAATGCCATATGAGCTGCAGTAAAAGACCAAAATCCACATCGTATTAACAGCAAACATATGCCAGTAAACACCTTCGTTCATTAGTATATACGAATATCGTTTAAATTTAACTTTAAAATAAGCACTTGGCCATTGGCCATTGATTGATCTTCTTCCTCTAAATGAATAAATTCATTGGAATCGCTACGATGTAATTTCAGTTAAATTTTTCCTCACTGGTTCATTAAGACTTTCTATAAAATAGCTTAAATAGGATTACTTTTTATTGGCCTTAAAGCTTTTTCCGGCGGTTTCATCATCCTCTTCCTCGTAGTATAAATATTCATTGTCCGCTGGTACCTTCCTGCGCCTTCTGAAAAAAACTCTTCTGAAAGTCTTACGTTTGTATTTGAAAAATATATTTTTGCTTGATATATATTAGGGAAATAAAGGTAAATATTTTTTTGGTTAAAAATTGGCGTACGAATAGCTTATTTGCCTTAAACCGTTTCTTAGATCTCCAAAACTAACTCAGTTTATGCATACTTACGAAATTTCTCCGAAAACTGTTATATGATTCGAAACCCAGCTGTTTTTCTTTCATGCTGCTTTACTCCTTCATTCTTTAAACCAATTAGACGCAATTATATTGTGCAAATTTCCCTAAACCTATTGAAATTCTTTATTCCAATAAATTGTTCTTTAAGCCTCATTCTTTCGCCAAAGCAGGTGGTAAAAGCTATACTAATTCCATCAAATCACGTTACGACCTCATAACATACACTCCTTCAAGTTTCCGTAACAACTCGCTAACGCTCCACAAAAACCAGTTTATACTGCATGTGTCAACTTGATCTGGCTGCACTGACACTTACACTTCCCGAATTCCCATAAAATGCCGTATTTTTTCTTCCAAAACGATGCTTAAATATTTCTTTGTACTAGTAGTTTGTCAGAAATTACTTTTTTCCAATTCAACCCTCTCCGGAGCCCATAGCATCAGGCACTCTTACTTTGTGTTATTAAAGCACGAGAACTTCGCAAGTGCTTATCTTACCCACTTATCCCCATCAAAATATAGAATTGAAGGAAAGCTTGCTGGTGGCACGGAGTATCGAAAGAGCGTTATAAGAACTAGAGGATATAGAGGATATTGAGGAAGTATCGAAGAAACAATTAGCTTTGAGACGATGTCAAGGGATTCTAAGGCTTAAAGAATGGTCCTCCATGGGATGAATGCTTTTAATAATATTAAGATTACTCGAAATATGGTTTCTTAAACGATTTTCGATTCATCTTCATCGCCTTTTGTGTGAATTCGTCAACATTTTGAAGTGATAAAGGTAAATCTCGGCTGTGAAGTGGCATCAACGATCGCAAACTCATGTGCTCCTCATTATCTGTTTTATTTAAAAGGAAAATCACATTAAAAATTATCGAATGAGAAAGAAATAAACTCTTTTATCAGAGAATCACCTGTGGATGCAAAAAGAATTCGCTACCTGACACCAGCTAAATTTCAGTCAACATGTTTATTCCTATTAGAGTGGAAGTTGAATCAATGACGTTTAATCTTCGTTTAAACAACAAACATTCGGTTAACCTGTCCCTGGTATCGATAGAACTGGTTAAAAATGATACAGAAGCCCAAACATCCTTTCATTTTTTGTTTATTTCATAAAAAAAAAATAAAAAAGATGCATATAAAGCTAACAATCAATTCCTATTTCTGGCGTTTTTGTAGTGCATGGCATTCGAGAAATTTTTATCGAATATTCTACTCTAAATTTTTTATATGAAAAATCTAAATTTTTTTTAAAGCTGCTTGGTCGCTTTTTCCTATTGATAAACGGTGATAAGCTTAACTAAAATAGATTTGAATAGATTTTTAGAATTTAATTAAGCAAATAAAAATCTTCCGTATTAATTATTAATTGTGCTTTAAGAACTAAAAAAATTTTTCACTAATCTTGCGTATAAAAAATAAATAATGTGAAAATACTAAAATTGAAAATCGTCAAAAACGAACTTTTTATTTGAATTCACTACGCTATGGACTTCTTTGATAAGATCATAAAATATCAGCCTATTATCATTCCATAAAGCAGCACCTGCATATGATTCGCCAGCATTTAAATAAATGGTTCGCAAGGGGAAGGCATTTTTCATTCCAATGAACGAGCAACATTTACTTTGTAAACTATAAAATCATAAAATTATAAAATTACTCGAAAATATTTCGATAGGAAGGAGGATAGGAAGAGTAAACAAATCTAACTACGCTTACAAGTGATGAGTCGCATTGCTGAATTCAATAATACTGCTGGTCCAATTTAAATTACCCGTACAAGTTGATTGTATATAATTTTTTGCGCATTCCTGGAATTTAGATATTTCGCTTGAGTTTTTAAAAATCATTCACCTAAACGCCTATAGTGAAGATGGATCATCGATATTCCATTTTTCATCGTTTAATACTTTTAATTAATATCTTCTTCTTCTAACAACTCTCACCATTACTGGTTAGGCTGGCTCCAATAGCCACAAGGGTAAGACGCTTCCAAGCGGCGCGGCCTGATGCCATCGTCGACAGTAATAGAAGCCATTCCTTTTTCCATCGTCTAAGTCCATATATTGCTGATCCACCTAATCTTCAAAATCTTTTCTGACCGTATCAGTCCAGGTCTTGATTGACCCATATCGCTTTTAATGCCAACCATCACACGGTTTTGCAAATAACGAAATATGCGTCAACTCTTCTGGTGGACGACGGAGAACGTGCCCTAACCAGCGAAGGCGACGTTCTGTGATTATTTATGTAAGTGGTATTTGAACGAAGGTGGATGTGATCATGTGATATCTTGTCCGCTCGATGGTTCCGTAATATGTACTTTAGACAAGAGTGGTAAAAAGCAGATAACTTCTTAATATCCTCCGCTCTCATTGGCCATGTCTCAGAATCATATTGTAAGATCGAACGGATCATGGCTATATATATGCGGATTTTCATTTTTATAGTGATTTCATGACGACTCCATAAAGGTTTCATCAGCCGGAAGAATGCATTTCTAGCTGCGTGATCCGAGTTGTAATATCATCTTTTGCCTGCCCATTTGGTAGAGTGGACCCATGGTATTTAAAATCGGGCATTTCCTCAACCGGCAATGAATTTATAAAAAGAGGCATTTTATCAGCTTCTTATCAACTTATCAGCTTCAGCCAAAATTAAGTTTTCTTAATTCATTTTTAATTTAATTTCCAACATTGCCTTACAAAGATTGCTATAAAGATTTGTATAATTATTACAGCTTTAGCAAAAGTTGATTTTGAATCGCTTTCACTTATGAATCTGTCGTTTGCAACAATTTTTCTATCATCGACATTCCATTTTTCGTAGTTTTTGCCATGATTGCCATAACACATTAATTTTGTGCATAAAATTTCTGAAATAAAATATAAAAAATTATGATTAATATAAAATTTTAATTATATTAACTATGTTTAATATAAAATTTTTAATGAATATTCTATCTAAAATTCGAATTTTTGAATGGTTTTAAGTTCACCTGGTTTTCCGCTGTTTTCAATCACTATCTTATACGGTACGCTAAATTCGTCACATGAACGAACGTATTCTATCATCATTATAATTTGGAAAAATATTTTAAATAATAATGTTGATTTGGGAAGTAAAACCATTTTGATCACAAAAAACTACGAAAAAACTTCTCTCTGAAATTACAATTCTTATAAGCGATTTTCTAAAGAGTATTTAAAGAAAAAACTGGTAAAAATTATCCAATCTTATTACTTATAAGTCAGTCATAATGCTAAATTTTTTTTTAAATGTAAAAATAAATTAGAAAAGTGTTAGTGAAAAAAATTACTAGTGGTAATAATAAGGAGTCGGAGGAGTTTTAATAAAACATAAAAATCAAAATGGCTAAAATATTGGCGAATATCCACGAATTATAAAGATTGTCCTAATTCTATAATTCTATAGAAGACAAAATGGTTCTATTTTTGGGGAAAAATTTAAGCCTTTCGGTTTTTTTGGACTAAAATGATTCCTCTAATCTTTTGTAATTTATTGTGCTCCATTATAAAAGTAAAATACAAATCTGTTTGTATATTTCAATTTGATCCTTTGATTGCTCGAATTCTATTAAAAAGATTTCTGCGGTCTAAATTCTTTAAATTTCATTCCAATTTTTATAACTCTTTAAAATTCTTATTTAGAATTAATAATCTACAGGCATTTTTCATTTAATTATTTGTTTGATCATCGATTGTAAAAAAAATAAGATTTTCATATTATTTTCAAATAACCAATGAAATAGTTTCTTGCAAATAGTTTCATTCACAAATTTCCATAAATTTTTTATAAATATAAAAAATCAAAAAAAATTGAAATTGTATTTTTGGAATTATTGTAAAATGAAATTAAATAACTAAAACTTGAAATTCTTCTAAAAACCTCCAATTTATTTTGCTAATATTTTTAGAACTTATTTTCGATATAAACAAATTACATATAAATAATCCACTAAAAAATCATTTTTTCTAAAATTTCTTTCGAATTTTATTTTTTTACATTTATTTATTTATAATAAATTTTATTTAAAATTTAAAAATCCAAGATTTGGACAATTTTTTAGATCAAATCGTTCGGGAAAAATCTAAATTCACTAATATTCAAATAATTTTAGCCAAAATAATTAGATTAATTGGCGTTAACTTCCTAAATATCGTAATTTATCCATCTATCTATCTTAAGGGTTTCCAACAGGACCGTCCAACAGGACTCCATGAAGGTCAATGGACAGCTCGACCAGCAACAATGGCGACTCTCCGGATCGATGGACAAACTGATGATCGATGGACAAACTAAAATAAAGTTGGTTTCAAGCAGTGGTTTCAGTAATCAGTACTCAAAAAATTCTCTTCAATGAAAATCCCTTAAAAAAGTTTCATTTTTTTATTAATTCATATTCATATAACAACAAAATTTTATGCAATTTTTTGGAAAAATTTTTATCATACTTTTACTTTTATAAATCAATGTTTGGCTTAGTTGAGCTATCGAAAAATACAATGTCCAACAAAATATAAGCAAGCCGAAACTAAAAGTGCCACCGGAAATCATGCCAACAGAATATATACCTATTTTTCAATTTTTTCATGTTCAGCCAAAAGTCGAAAGATAACTATAAATGCGGCAACGAGCCAGACCAACTCGTCTCCAGTATCTCTCGTCTCCAGTTAACAAGATTTCCCTTACTAGAGATATTGAATAATTTCCCCTTTCTCAGCTTCATAATCCTGAAACTCCTATAAATAAAAATCTATTTCTGTATTAACCTGTATAAATCACTATTATCATTATCATTTCTAAACATTTTTGGTGTGCTCAAAATCATTAACAGTTGACTGAATGTTTCCAAAGCAATGCACAGCGAGACTGCGACAATTGCTGTTTCACAGCTTTTGTCGCAAGCTTTTAAATGAACTAGCAGAAACAACAAAAGAACAAAACGACCTATCCTCTGCACTAAGACAATCAAAAAACCGCAAGCTTCGAAAAAAGATAAAAACTCCGTCACCAGCCCACCACTGAACGATGGTGTAATAACAGCAAAACTCCTTATGTTCGTAACTACCACAATCACACAAAAATATATTTCGCAAGAACCAAACGACAAAAAATTTAATACATAAAATAGAACCACAATGCAACTAAATCTAGTAATTTCAATATACAATTTGCTTCAAATACATCAATTTGAAAAAGCAAAAAGATGAGTTCGAGAGGTAAAAAAACAACCAAATAACTCGAAAAAAACTCAAAAAAATCTTTTCATAATCGTCAACATTATTTAGAAGACTTGAAACGAGCATAGTTATTTCTAAAAAATATTATAAAAATATTTTAATTGAACATTATTTAAACGAATAAACGAAAAATTTAATCAAACACAATAAGAGATCCTGAAAAAAATGTTATAGCCCTTTAAATAATAATGAATAAAATATTAGATCATTCATTATATTATATATTTCTATATTATATTCCACCACAGTGCACTTTAATTAGAAAGAGCAAAAAAAATTCTTGTTTCCATGAAACTGAAGTACATTCTACAGCGATAGCGCTAAACGCTGGTTGAAAATTTTCTATAAAGATGAATAAAATATTTAAAAAAAAAACCACTTATAGATTACAATAATATATTTTAACAGTTCTCATGGAGACAAGTTTTGTGGATGACTTGACATTTTAAAAATAAAAAACAAAAAAAAGCAGAAAAAACCGATAGGAACCGAAGAAAGCGCAATCAAATCCATCCTTGCTTGGAATATATGAAAAAAAACCAATCTTTTTAAATAACAGAAACAGTTATCACAACAAAAAGCCAAACAGGTTCATAAATGGTACATTTTGAACATTTTGGTACAAGATTCTGTTGCAAGCACAATAAAAAACCAACATCCCACACCAATAAATAATTTTAGCAAAAAGCACCTGAGTAAAACGGAGTCAAAATATTGAAATGCTATTAGCAAGGGAAGACGATATTTAAAAAAAGTTTAGAATTTATTATTGAACAAGCATCATGAAATGAAAAACTTTTGAATTCAAAACTTTAAATGTCCAATCTAAATAATTTCAAAAAACAGATCGCAAACCTTGCTAAAAAAATATATTTCATAACGAAAAACGTAAATGCAAACCTCAAAAATTTCGCGGGAAAAAATGCGTCTCTCAATTGCATTCATTCAAATATTCAATAATTATTTAATATTAATATTCAAAATTTTAAATCAATTAAAAGAATAAAGGAAATTTTCACGAGAAAAATTATCCTGAGCAAAATAGAGAAAACTAAGTGGCAAATTATTGAAGCAAAATTGTTTATGCCAGCACTAACAACCTTGCACTCATCAAACACAAAAAAAGGTACATTTGAATCCCAAACACAATCATTTTTCGAATGAAAATCGATTATAAATTATAAACAACTTAAGATAACTGCTACAGAGTTTCTGTGAAATATTTAGTTCACTAGAAGATAGAATAATCCCACTTAGTTTCGTATTTCTAGCATTTCTATCATTTTTATTTATAATTAATACTAAGAAAAAATATGCCAGCAATTATAATCTCCTGGACCGCGTAGACTGGGCAGAAGAGAGATGAGGCTCAGGATCGGAAGGTGTTACCGTCTGGTTTCGATTAGAAAAGCTCTTTTGTAGATCAACTCGATTTATTTCTATAAATAAATGGTGAAAAATTTTGCATAATAATAAAAAAGAATGAAATACACAAAAGTAGAATGAAAAATGTTTTTTCTTGAAAAACTCTGATGAAAAAAATAC